TAAACAGTGTTCAAATACCATGTAAAGTTTTTACACAGCAGGCAGTTTTTTATTGCAAATCTTTTTGAAAGTTCACCAAATGATTTTTGCTTAACAATTTTGGCTGCCTCTGTATTTCTCTTATAAAATATTTCCTTGTATTCATCCATCCAGACCTCTGCAAGGCAAACTTGGTTGCGAGCAATCACTTGAGTGCCTTTTGGAAAGGAATGAGGACTTTTGCTGCGAAAAACATGTCCAACAACAGAGCAAGGCATAATCTCCAACTGCCCACCACATTGCCATACTCTGAAAGACATTTCTATATTTTCACCTCCCCAGATTTCCATTTCTTCATCATAACTTCCAATATACTCAAAATATTCTTTTGATATGAAAAAAAGGCCTCCTGCAAAAGTAGGTGTTTTAATTGGATAGGTTTCATCTTTCCTTCTTTGCTTCTCATGATCGGGAAGCTATTCCCAGCCAAATGAAAGGCTCCAGTCAAAATTTCCACGGTTATGGTTACTACCATAAGGAGAACGTTTGTTGAATTCAAATGTATTCAGATCTATGGAGACAATGTCTGGACTCAGGACGGCAGTGTAGTTCTCGGCTATTCTGCCCAGCAAAGGCTCCAACCAACCACAGAAACACTCACAGCATCTAAAAATGTGAGTGTTTCGGCTATTGCTACTGCTGCTCCTAGCAACCGGGCAGTGATCAGACCGTTCCTTTCTTTTTGTCTATTTTTACTATAGAAAATTGTTTGATATATTCCTCTAGTTTTTCATGTAAGTAATCTGGCGTGGGCAGGGTGGGCGGGCGCGGGACGTGGGCCGGGAGTCGGGCGCAGGTGGCCCGTGGCCGCCGCGGCGCCTCAGTTGCTGTCGCTACAGTTACAGCTCTGCCAAGCTCCTCCTCCGCCGCCGCCTCCTGCCTGCCCACTGGGCCTCCAGCGGTCCCCGGAGCGACCGCACAGAGGCTCCGCTTCCTCCCGATTGAAGTGTGTTTCTTGTATGCAGCATATTGTTGGATTTTGCTTCTTGACCCATTCTGCCATTCTATTTCTTTTGATTGGTGAATTGAGACCATTAATGTTGATGGTTATAACTGAAACATATTGACTTATCATTGCCATGACTTTTCCTTTTTGTTGGGTTCTCTCCCTTTATATTTAATTTCTTGTTGTGCCAGATGGGTTCATTCTGCTTTGCTTCCTGGGGTTGTGATCCTCAATGTCTGTTCCTAGGATATTGTGTCAAATTCTTTGGAGTGCTGGTTTGGTATTCACGAAGTTCCTAAGGTGCTCTTTGTCATGAAAGTATCTTATTTCTCCATCAATTTGAGACAGTGTCTGGCTATGTAGTTCAGGCTGGCCTTGAACTCATAGCAGTCCTCCTGCCTCAACCTCCTGAGTACTGGGAATTTAGGCATGCACTACCACGTCAGGCTAGTTTTAATATTCATTCATTTTAGCATGTTTAATTTTAGGCTTATTTTATTAAAAATGAGATCTCCAAACTTTTATGTTTTTGTTCAGTTTGTACAAGTCAGATGAGTCCTTGTGGAAACATAGCTGAGGTTAAGACAATATAATGTTCTTTTATTTCTTTACGAATAATCTGCTTATGTAAAGACATTATTATTTTGTATAAAATTTGTCTTTTAATGTTGTTTTCTTTTTTTTGGAGACAGGATCTCATTTTGTAGTTCAGGCTGGCCTAGAACCTACTAGCCCAGGGTGGGCTCAAACTCATGGCAATCCTCTTGCTTCAGTCTGTCAAGTGCTGAAATTACAGGTGTGTAGTACCATACCTGGCTTTTAAATTTTTTTAGCATAATGCTTTTTTATGATAGTAGAATTCTGAAAAGTAGAAAGTAAATATTCTATGATAATTTATTTTATAATGTTTATGAGTTTTATTAGAAGGTAAATTAATTTTAAAAGATGAGGGCCGGGGATTTAGCTCAGTGATTCTGGTGCCTGCCTTGCAAGTGCAGGGTCCCGAGTTCATTCCCTGGTACCAAAAGAAAAAAAAAGATGATATGGTTTAGTTTTAAATATTTTATTTAACTCACAACTACGATAGAAATTAAACGCTTGTAATTGTGAAGTCCTGAGCATATGATAGCTATCTGAAGATCACTGTTGTTTACTTGATGAAATGACATCAGTTGAAATGACCCTAAAATGACGCAAGTGCTTTACTTGCCACCAGAATCATCAGAAGACAACAGTTGAATAAGTAAGTCTCACCATGTTTCTTAGTTCATTAAGTCATTTAAATGTCATTGTTAATGCATTTTAGTTAAAAATGAGTGGAATATTTAAATATATTCCATAGTTCTTATCTGTTAATGCTGTAAAAATTTGGTACTAAATAATAAAAGTTAAAAAGTTAAAATGTTTTCTGATGACTGAACTTTAAATTAATATAATTTAGAAAGCATTTTATAGTTACTTGTCTATAAGACAGTTATTATAATACTATTTGAATCACCAATAAAAGCTAAATACCCTTGATAAATAAAATTGAACTTAATATGAACAGCAGGTTATAAATGAACATGAATCATATTTTTCTTCCCATTCTTTTTTTTTTTTGGTTCCGGGGATCGAACTTGGGTCCTTGCGCTTGCGCAGCAGGCGGCGAAACCACTGAGCTAAATCCCTGGCCCTTTCTTCCCATTCTTACACATAAACTGACTAAGTAGAATTGAAAAGCACTGGTAAAAGCTGCTTTAAACACATTACTTTTCAGAAAGCTGTAAATTCCTGGGCATGGTAGCACATCCCTCAAATCCGGGCACTCTGGGAGGCTGACGAGGGAGGAATTCAAGTTCAAGCCCAGCCTGGGCAACTTAGTGATTTAGTGAGACCCTTGTCTCAAAAATAAAAAAATTTAAAAAGGGCGAGAAATGTAGCTTAGTGCAAGGGTCCTGGTTTCAATCCCCAGCATGTACTGTAAAAACAAATAAACAAAAAACTGCAAATTGCTTGTTTTCAGCCTGAGAAGCTGAGCCTTTTGGGAGGTATCATCCTTGTACCCCTGTTGTCTTTTTCTCCTTGACACAACAGACTATCCATTGTGACCTTATGTAACTGGACATGTAACACTGGTAACTGGTTATTATGCCTCCTGCCTATGTAGTTAGACTCTCAAAAAGCAGAAATGAAATGCCAAGAACAGTGTGTTTTTTTCTCCCCTTTTCTTATTCTTTCTCTTTGCTCAGACATTCATTTATATATTCATTTGCATATTTATTAGTAACATATCTTGGTTACACAGTGTGTGCCAGGTATTATAAAATTGAATGAAGCATGGGGCTTTCCTTCATGGACTTTATAGTTTAGTTTTATACATGATTCTCTATTCTGAACATATGAATCAAAATTATTTCTCTCCTTAGGCTTGACTTCTGTATTTTTAAAAATAAGACTTAGATTCCTTTGTGAGGAAAGCATTTCTTTCTAGGATGATTTAAAATTACAAGCATATGGAATGCTTCAGATTCTTTTGAAGACAGTGGAGAGCATACGTGAGGGGTGTTCCTAAGGAATCCTCTATTGTACCCATCACCAAGGAGTTAAGTAGGCCAGAAGTATTTATCAAGAGAATTCCAAAAAACAAAAGAGAATTCCACAATATTTATAGTGGAAAGTGGGTCTAGTATTCCATAAAAACCATTATCTATATTTCTATTCCTTGGCTTTTTTTCCCCTGAAAGATTTCAGTGATGTAATAAAACAGTGATATGACACATGCATAAGTTCCCATCATTTAGTTGCATTGTGAAGAATAAGGCACAAAGATGGTGATTTTTCACAGCAGTTTATAAACTGTAGTCAGTTACTTTATAGGGTGTTTAGTACTCTAAATTTTTTATTGCGCTTAGAAATGATATTTTTAGTACTATAGTAGTATACTACGTATATATAGTAGGACTACAAAAAGGAAAGTAGCTTCAGAAATCTGAATACTCATCTGATATCAGTGGTTCTTGATAAAAAATAATTATTTGAAAAGTAGATAATTGATTGTTAGCAGCTGTATTGATATATAATTTAAATATCATAGTTTGTCATAAAGTATACAATGGTTTTTAGTTTATGAATTGTACAGTCATCACCATTATCATCCCAAAATGTAGTTTAATTTTGAATTCTGTATAAGGAAATCATACTGAAAATTCAAAGTTTTCTTCGGCAGTTAACATCCATTTACAGAGATTGTTTGAGATGCTGAAATAATTTTGGAAATAGAAAGTGATGATGATTGTGTAACATGAATATATAGTTAATATCAATGAATTATATGCTTAAAAATGGTTAAAATGGTAAATTTAATGTTATGTCTATTTTGCCACAATAAAAAATACAACATCCATTTATGTAAAATCAGAATCAATGGCTTAACTTTAAAATTCTTTTGGAGATTCTTCCTAAGCAACACATGTCCTAATAATTTTTTCTCAGAAATGTATTATAGCAAAGATACTCTTTGCTAAAAATCATATTGATCTTCCCAGACTGAAAAACATATACATTAAAATTTTATAGATATTTATTTTTATAGAAATTAAAATAACATTGTCAAAAAGTGAAATAATTGGCCTATAATAAGTGTTTATAGATGCATAGAAAAACATCTATGGAAGTAGAAGAAACAATAATGTTGATTATTGTGGACAGAAGAACAGAATGACTAGAATTCAAGGGTGGGAATGATATTTTTCACCATTGACACATTTAAATTAAAAAATTTAAATTAGGGCCGGGGATTTAGCTCAGTGGTTCCACCGCCTGCTTCGCAAGCGCAAGGACCCGAGTTCGATCCCCGGTACCAAAAAAAAAAAAAAATTAAATTAAAATATTTCCTGATCCTAATTTAGAATCAACATAACTATGTTCCCTTTTATAATGCTTTGTTACAGGAGATAGAATTTCTTTGAAATTGTTTTGAAAATGAACACTATTAAGAAAATGAACACTATTAAGAAGGTTGTCTTCTTTCTAGGAATTGATTATGGATTAAGTTTACCACTTGGGGAAGACTATGAACAGAAGAAACATAAATTAAAAGAAGAATTACGGCAAGATTATAGACGTTATCTTACTCAGGTAATGGGCTCTATTAATGAATTGGGTCTTATGCTTCATAGTTCGTCTCCTAAGTCTGCTTTTGTAAAGTATTAGTCATATGTGTTAATTCTCAGTGATATCTAGCAAAGTAATATAGTCAAAGTTAAATGATATATGTGACACTGATAGAGGGAAAAATATGGTGCTGACAACTCATGCCATAGAATTACAGACTCTTCCCGGCAGTCTAGCCTAGTGGCACAGAGTGTGCTCAGCATGTGTGAGACCCTAGGTTCCATTTCCTAGGGAAAAGAAAAGAAGTGGTGACTGACAGACACCAAAAGTCAAGAGACTTTTGGAGTAGGGAAGTGGGTTCTAATTTAAATGAGATTGTTAATTCTGGTTGTTCATGTTTTCTGTAGTTACCGTGGTTTAAAAGGGCCTAATTATGATTTCCCAATCTACTCCCCCAAGCTACATACTAAAATGTTTACTAACTAGTAATATCTTGGATTTATGATTTATGATTTCATTTAACAGAACTCTTATTTTGTATATTTTTTAAATTACATAATAGCTAAACTAAATGTTTATTGTAAGTTTTAAAATGCAATATACTGTGTAGTTTATATACAAATTTTAAACAATCATGATTTTTCTAGTCATACCAAGATATTTTTTAGTTTTTCCCTGCTTTATAATGTTCGTTGAAATACACAAATGGTCTCTTATTCATTGTAATTTGAACACAGAGCTAATGGGCTATGATTAAATACATTTTATCTGTACTTTGTTTCTCTTGACTTTAGGGCATTACACAAGCAAAGACAAAGGTAGGGTTGCCTGCACAATGTTCTTTAATTTAAAAGATATAGTAGCCTGCAATCATTTACATTTTGTGATTGAAGCCTGTTAGAATCATAGCTTCTCTTGTGATTTTGAGGCTTTTGAGTGGTGTCATTTTGAATCCTTGCTTTTAGCAAGATGACAGTCTACATACACATTTTAATATTCCATTAATAAAAGTCATTAATTTTGATTCTGACTTTGCATTTGTATTTGTTGCTTTCTATGCATTTTTATAAATGTTCTGCAGCTACTAAGTCCGTTTGTTTTCAGCATGCTAGTTTTTGTTTCCCAAATCATAATAAGATTAATAGAATAATAGAATAGTCAAGATATTTGTAAATGTTCTAAACTGTGTGTTTTCGTTAACTGGATTACTCTTTATTTTTGCTCTAAAACTTGTGGATTGCATTTGTAAATTTGTATTGGAAAACAAAGAGAAACAGTTTAACAGAATTACAAAACTATTTTTTAAATGAAGCTCACACATTCATTCACCTCTCAACTAAGATTTTTAAAACACTTATCATGAAGATGAGCCAGGTATGGATCCTGTCTTCAAGGGGTATAGAATCTAGTTGTGGAAACAATGTTCATACAATTTAGAGTGATTTAACTACCAGAAGAAGGATATGATGACATGAAAGTCCTTTCAGTGGGAACTCTTTTGTAAACCTTTACAAGATAAGTAAAATTTGGTTAATCCAGAGTGAGACTTGAAGAGAGAATGCTTTTCAGATGGAAAGTACTGTATAGAATGAATGATTTGGAGGGTAGATTTTAGGTTTGTGTGAGTGAGACATACTAGGTTTTCCAGCCTGACTGGATCAGAGTACAGTTCTTTTTGAAAGTAGTGGGAAATAATGATGTAGGGTAGGGTCATATTAGAAGGCACTTATGTGTGATAGGTAGTAGTGAAGCAAGGTATTTCCTTAAGTAGCCTGTGAAGAGCAGATAACTGTGTATTAGGACAGATCTACATGTCAGAGATTCTCATCTAAATGTCTTAAATTACTGCTACAGCATCTTAACTGATCTCATTTTCTAATTCGTAATCCATTCCCCATGTTACTTTCCAGAGTGATACTATCTCTAATTAATTTTGCTGTTGTTGTTTTGGTTGTACTGATAATTGAACACAGGGCCTTTGTACTGACCTACATCCCCATCTCTTTAAAAAATAAATAAAT